CAGTAACTAACTATGACAACTAATAAGGAAAGCATGGGAAATTAGGTCAAAACAGGCAACATAAGAGAATATAATTATTACATACAGTACATGAGAATAATTTTACCTTTCAGATAAATCTCTTTAACTCGATTACTGCTGTGTATGTCATCGGTTATTAAATAATTTTTCAACCAAATTTTTAGAATAAAATTTTAAATTCAATAGTTGATTTAGTATTTTACATTAATGACACTTATATAAAAGGTGGGGGGTCAACTTAACAACTTACCCCAGTGCCATATTAGCTACCCTTTTTATATTTTACATTTTGTGCTATAACAACTAAATAAGTAAATGTTTCTATATTTCCTGCAATAGCATTAGCTGAATAAGCTGATGCATCATCATCTTGTACATGCTAAAGTTATCTATGTTACAGTAAAGTAGGCAAAATCCGTATTGTTGTTAATAAGGGGGGGGGGGGTCTTCCCCCCATCCTACCCATATATATATAAATATAAAAGAAGAGTCCAAGAGTGACCTTGCTTAGAATATGGACTGCATGTTCAAAAATCGCGTGGGCACTACCAACCGTTCAATAGTTGGTTGAGAAAGTGTGGGTGCCCATAGAGACAGAGCGGCTCCGTTTCAGTGCAACCAGTGCTGGCGGGGCTCGTGCATTCATTTGCTGTCAATATCTTTATCTGCTCTATTTCACATTGACAATTGCTGACGGATCGATAGGTCTGAACAGGAATTTGTCGCGAGCTTGATTTTCCCTCATCGAGTTCAACCATATGAATTACTCTCGACGCGTCGCCATTTGGTTACTCGCGTTATCAGTGCAAATTATTCAGGCATGTGCATATTGCGGTAGATTGGAGATGATATCCGTTTGGCTCCTCTTTTTAAAGCTGTTGGTAGGTATCAACATATCGAAGCTTTGTGCATCTGTTGCATCCATGTTTGGTTACATCTGCATGCGCAAGGCACGTCAAGCGAGTATTGCAAGGCATTTTGTGTGCTGCATTCTACTGTCGTGCTTGGAAGAGTGTTCAGTGTAAAAAGAGTTATGATGCTGCTGTGTATATCCAAAATCTCTATGACTAATTGGTATAAATTCCTAATCTGCTTGTAATGTCAATTAATACCCATTTACCAGAGAAGTTTGACTTAAAGGGATAAACCACCTTGAAAACAAAATGAGATCAATCACCATTCACTTTCATTGGATGGTGACAGAGGGTGTTAGTCTGTGACAGGCTATCACACATCTTAATTTTGGGGGGATATTTCCCTTTAATGCAACAGTCACACTTATTGGATAATAACTGATGACATAATTTTGCTATCTGCAGAATTCCACCTCTGGCTATAAGTGGATGCGATGTTCGGACATTAGAAATCTATTTTCCAAAACAGACAGGGGTTAATGGTGGTCACAGCACCAGCAGGCATGCATAAAATAACATCATATCCGCTCGATATGACCAATAGATTTGTTTCTCTGTCTCTCTTACTGGATAAGCTCAGGCTGATTGCTCTAAAAAACCAACTGCATCATGGCACTTTGATAAGGTTGTCTCTGACTAGTGAGCTATGTACATGGCTCTTACTGTATAATAAACAAGACAGCCTCCTCAGATGGAGCATGTTGCCAGGCAACCACCGTTTTTTTTGGGGGGGGAAACACAGAACAGACCCTCTTAAGTCATATCTTGCGAATAAATGATGACAGTATATGAAATGGCATTTTGATCATCCACATAATGTAAGCTCCTCTCAGTTTATGTTGCATGAGTGTGAGCACTGAAGAACCACACAGAAGTGAAATGATAAATGATTAAGTGATACATTGTAAGGAAATATGAATTATTGTACATTGTAACTGAGTGCAGTCAACCAATTAGATTTTAGATTTATACTTTCAAGAAAGTAGTACTTTGTCACTAGTTTTAGCATTCTCTTTTTTATTTAAGCTTTGAAGTTTTTGTGATCACAACTTGAACAACCTCATTGGTCAACCCAAGTTTATTTAAAATGGCATCCTTAAAATTAAAGCAGATGTCACATATTTTCTATGAGGCTACTAAAACAACCTTTAATGTAGATTTTAAGCCCACTTCGTAATTGCCTGCTTTGTTAGAAACCACTTCTCATGGTTATTTGGTATCATAGCGGTCCACCCACTCCTCACAGCACGGATGCCAGAATAGCTTGATGAAACTATATGGATTTGAAACTTGGATCTGAGACTTTTCAAGGACCAAGACTAAGAGAAAACAAATGTTTGGTTTCAAAGCTTGGTTCCTTTAATTCTAAACAAATCTGTTTCAATGTAACTTTCTTAGAGAGCCACAGCTGGTGTGGGAAGGTCATATGGAAGTGAACTAAATGAAGGCAAAAGCCCCTCTGTAAATCAGCAACAAAAAGAGCAGAAATACCTCTCTGAAAAAGTCACCATGGAGACCAGCCAGTTTTCGGAAATGGCTGATCTAACAGACTGTAAAATGGATCCTGGGAGTACAGAGGACCAGACATGCCAGTTCACCGAGGAGGCAAATGAATGTTTTGACACATATTTCTCAGAGTGCCTGGATACCATAAAGAGCGACCCCCACGAAGACCTCGAAGGGCAAAACGACAAAGGCATAACCAATGCAAGTGAGAGCTCAGGTGAATCTGATGAGAGCAAAGAATCTCAAGATAGCGTTATGGTCAACAAACAAGAACTATCGAATGGCAGAGAATCTTTGACCTCTGATTCTCATGAAGACCAGCACACGAATGACCAACCAGAAGAGGAAATGGAAATCAACAATTCTGATGATGCCCAGGAGGAGGAGCACAATGAACCTGAGGAGAGGGTGGAGGCAGAAGAAGAATCTGTGCTGGAGCCACAAACGAACGAGCTGGTGATTTCTGAAGTCCCGACTCCCACTTGCCCGGATGTGGATCGAGATGACCTGAGTGACTGCCTGCTTGTGGAAATGGCCATCATTTCATCAGACAGTGATGCTGAGGAGCCATGGAGATCTTCAGCTGACAACAAAGAGGAGATTGAAGAGAACGGTGATCTCTTGGGTATGGATGAAGCAGAGGTAAACCCGGAAGACCAAGCAAGGCAGGAAGAAGTTGAAGTGATTGATAGCAATGCTGAACCTGAAGATGAAGCCCTGGCTTTGAACCTTATTGAAACTGAAATTCTAGAACAACCAGAGTGTCCCACCGAATGTGAGCTGCAAGATATTTCTTTGGACTCCTCTATCCATTACTGCAGCTTAACAAAGATTGCCGAGGACGAAGATGAGCTTGGGAAAACCTCAAAGCACAACCTGCAGCGCCTGTCTTGTTCAACTTCAGAGCTCGACAAGAAGTTGCCGCAGGACTTCTGCGTGGTTCAGGAAATAAAGAGCGAGAATGTCAGCACAGAGCATCTGGATTTCAGGGTTGCTCGCAAGCAATGGCAGAAGATGGAAGAGCAAACCAAGGGTCTGGTGCACCGGCCAGTCATGAAGCAGGGAACTTGCCAGGGTGGGCACAGCTTCATGTATACACCTGTCCGCAACATTGATCGCCCTAGAAGAGAACCTGACATCGAGAGTCTTGGTCTGGGGGAGTACCAGTACACTCAATTCAGCCCCTGTTCGGAGGATTCTGGACTGGATGACACAAGCTACAGGTCACCTTACGATGAGCCAGAGACTCCAGTGGAGCGGGAGATCCGCGAAGCTCTCGAGCGAGAGGAGAATTTCAGACGAGAGAGGGCAATGGCAAAGATGTCTGCAGGTGACGCAACACAAGTTCAACCCAGGCCTAGTGCTCTTCACCACAGCAGATCAGAGCCTGGGGAGAAAGGACGGATGTTTGACACACCGGAAGACAGATGCAGGTCTCAGAGGTCCCCTAGTGCAAGAACTCCAACTTTGTCCGTCACTGCATCTTCTGGAAGAAATCCCACATACCATGAAATGACCGCCAGCAATGTCATTATACTCGAGCCGGATTCGTACCCCACAAGTCCACGGAATCGAGGGAAAGGTGGGCTGCTCTCTCCAGGGACCAGCAGTTTCCAAGAATGGCCAGACATGAACAACGTGATAATCTTGGAGACATCAAATCTCATAATTCGAAGTGCCTCGGAATTCTGCCTGAGCACTGCATGCCAAGAGACACAAGAGAGCACGTTTCAGAACAATCCCTTCTTCAAACTGCGCTCTCACAGCACCCAGTCTCTGGTGGATCAGGAGATCAAGTTGGTGAAGCAAAGAGAAGAGGAGCTTAGGAGGCAGAGAGCGCAACTATATGTAAAGGAGAGATACGACACAGTCCTCGTGTCCCCCAGCCAACTGCAGAATTTCACTTACGAGAGACCAGGTAGCACATTCTGCTACTAGTAAAGTATTTACTGCATTGATGTTATTACACAAATATGTATTGATGCAAACGTCATTCTTTTATTTGGACTCTTCACAGGAGAAGTACCAGCAAAATCCAAGTCATCCCCCTCATCTCCATCGAGGATGCGCAAAATGGATCGCTCCGCTTTGTCCTGCGACCACAAGGTACAGTACATTCAATTTAAGCATGCTGATTCAAAGTTGCAGATTTTAAACTGCACATATTTTTTGTTTGTCCTCTCATGAATCATATATAAGTGTTCTGAATTACATTTCATCTGTTTCACATCTTTGACATCTCATTGATCTGTGCCCATTTCACCTTGAAACTGGAAACTGCATGCAGTTTTACAGGTGAAGTTTTCTCCTTTAGTTCCCTGAAGCTCCTTTCCCTCGAGTCAGACGAAAAAGTGCCCTGGCCCTGAGGTGGGAGGCAGGTATCTTTGCCAATCATCAGCAACAAGACTGAATGATTCACAAAATCAAGTGTTTCCATTACAGTATAATACGCATGTAGAGATAGATTCAGAGTAAAACAGTCATTAGTACAAACCTGGAACTTAATAGGCGAGTAAAAATATTCTGATAAACTGATGTCATACCTTTTTTAAATGTTGGATGCGAATTGTATTTTCATTCAGAATTTTATCCTGGGTACACTTTTATATTATTGCAGATGTAAAATTTATAAAGTAAAGCCTAAATTGCACTATGTACAAAAATAGCGCCAAACACTGAGAAATATATTACTCTGATTTCACATAACATACATTGTTTAAAATAAATACTAATTTTGAGTCTTAACAATTCAGTTTCTTGTTTCTATGTTGTCACTTTAGCCATACAGTCGAGAGCAGAAGTAAATCAAAATAAATTTATTATTGATTTTATCTGATTAAAAGTGCAATTTAAGACAAGAGAAACAGCTTCTTGTAATGTATATTATAAAGTATATTATGGATGTAGCTTCCAGAGATCATACAGATAAGTAGCTGGCTTCTGTACCATTATTACATTGTGAGCCTTTTAAACAGTTTATGCTTTGATTGCCTGCTTATAATGTCAACATTTATTCCTGCGTGAAAATAATAATTGAAAATTTGTGTGAATTTCACGTCATAATATTCATGTTTGAAATGGCATCTTAATAGATATGTTTTTTCCTTGCAGGATGTTTTCAATGCAAAAATATTGTTCAAACCTTGCAATAAAATGAAATGACACCTGATAATGATTTGTTCTGCCGTATAAATGATTGTAGGCCTTCATCCCAGTTTATCTCCTGAAAAGCTGCCATGTGATTCATATGTTGGTTATACATTCCCTATGGAGACAAGCATTGAGATACAGAAAGCTGAGTTTCCGAGCACGAACACAGCAAGGACAGCAACTCTAAACTTGGTATCCTGTGGAAGCAGAAAGAAGAGCATTTAGGTTGTTTTTGAGCCTTTTTAATCTCCACCCTTACATCTGAGTAAAGTAAACTTACCCAGTTTACTTTCCCTGAAAAGTCTGAGATAACTGGAAGTTCATCTTCATTGACACTTCCTGTTGAAACAAGAAAACTGACTAAATATATAATGTTACATATCTTTGAAAGCATTTATGCTTCATTTCACTCTCAGTTGGAATTATCTTCAATTGTAAGTCTGAAACCACGGGAAGAGGGAACGTGACTGAACAGGAAGTACTGTGTACTTCCAAATCAATCAGACTTTTGCTTTTGCACAGTCTTTCAGAGGTGTTTAATGTAAAAATGATTTATACAGACCTTTTCTAATAACATCATGCTTGTGAAGTTTTAACACAAGCTTTAACACAATGGTCCAAACCACAAAAGCAGAGAGAACCCCTGTGGTCCATGGGTAAGGTAGCAAAAGAGACTGTTGCTTTATTCCAAAAAATATGGAAATCACTGCAAAAAAAAAAAAAAAAAACACGAAATTATTACTGATAGAAATTGATTTATTTGAGATACATTTTCTAAACAACAAAATCCCAAAGAGCAGAACTCACCAGCAATAATTTCAGCAGCATTTCCAACACCCCAGTGCAACCAATTGAATATCCATCTCCTGGGAAAATGAAATGATTATCCTGGTGTTATTCTACTCACTTCATTATGTTTTTCAATTCAGATATGTAAGCAGAAAATGTCAATATGATTTCATTGATGAGCCATTACCTTGAGGAGTCTGGAGCTGGTCTGAATGCAGCCATTATAGGCTGACAGAAAGTGAGGATCATAACTGTGCAGCCTAGGTAGGGATGAGCACCTGCTCTCTGCAAAGACATTTGGTAGTAGAATTGTTAACTAAAACCAAAGCTATTCTCAGAAGATTAAATAAATCTGAAATAAACACAAATCTAAATATTAGATTAAAAAAATACTATAATAAATGAATAAATGCTGGATTAATAAATGCTGTAAAGGTATTGTTCATTGTTAGTTAATGCTATGTAGTTAACTAATCTAAAGTCTTAAACTAAAATAGAAATAAAATCTGAAAACAAAAATAAAAGTTAATTAAAAATATGAGCTAAACACATTTAAAGACAATACAACATAGGCTACAATACAACACCACACCATAATTATAAGACACTCTCTAAACGAAATAGGATGCCCCCTATTGGCAAAGAGCGTAACTGTAGCATTTAACATATTGAATATTGTGTTTAAAATATGTATTGTGTTTTATTTCAAAACATTGTCTAGACATAGAGCACAGGCTTTACTCACTGTGCTCCATTTTCCTCGGTAGATAAAAGGAAAAATGAAGCCCACAGCTGTGAGCAACACTGTAAGACACATCAACATGCGATGCACCTGTAAACAGAGGAAATGAAAATTATGAAAAGCTGATTACCAGTGAAATGTGCAGAAAACTAAAAAGTATTAAAGCATGAATAAGTAATAAGCAGCAACCATAGCTTGTTTCATAGATTTTTTATTTATTTTTTTTGCAATAGAAGCATAAATGTCCTGTATAAAAACATAATTCATACCTGGAACCATATTGTTTGCCCAAACAATGTTCGTTCTGGCCAATCAGGTTTATAATAGCCAGCGATTAATGTTCCAGTGCTTCCTGCTAGCATCCAGGCAATCAGCATTAGAGCTCCTGCATGTACATTTGGAATTATATGCAAATGACAGCATTTTGCAATTTACACCAATATCGTGTAGTAGTTTATCGAATTACCAAATTGCCATAATTTTATTGCACAGCCGTTACAATACACTTTTCGATGGCACAATAATGATAATTGCACTTGCAACATTTCCTTTTCCTGACCATATATTAATAGTTAGTTATAACAGTTAGTTTACTGAAGTTGCATCTCATATCATATTTACATACAATGCAAGAGCAAAAATCTTAGGTCTCCCCTCCCCTCCCAGCCAGCAGCAGCTTAAGTGCCTATATCCATAAGTTAAGAACACACACACTAACAACAATACATTTACTGTTTAATTAAAAAAAAACTGCTCACAATGATTAAAAACACAGTACATTACTGTGGCAAAATAAATTAGGTCTATCTACTGTTAAGAAGCCTAATAGCTTGGTGAAAAAATTAGTCTCAAGTCTACAAGTTTTTGCTTTCAAACTGCAGTAGCGCTTGCCAGAGGGAAGCCGCTGGAAAAGGTTACTGTTGGGGTGACTGGGGTCCTTGACAATCTTTTGGGCCTTCTTCTTGCACCTCCCCTGGTACAGGTCTGCTATATATGTGAGCTCACAGCCGCATATTTTCTGAGCAGTTTTGACCACTCTTTGTCTCTTATTTAGTCTCAGTATCCTGCAGTAAACTTAATTGCAGCAAAACACTTACCATGATATTTCATGAGCAGTGGAGATCGAGAACCTGTCAGTATCTCAGCAGGGCCGGTAATGATCTGATGGTGGGACGATATCAGTGGCTGCCACGTGTGTCTATGGATCATACCTGCAGCACAACAAAACAACAATAAAACTGATGAGATAACTTGGATAAAGCATCATTTCACACCATTCTATCAGTAAAAAAATTGTGATTTATTATACAATAAAGATAGGGGGGGGGGTGTATCTAAAATGTGAGACAATTGCTGCGTAAATCGTAGGACAAGATCTGGTCAAAGTGTTTTAAGAAATGCATGTGTGCTCGTTTCCTTGTAAAAGTTTAATTCAGACTTTAGCAAACCAGCTGTAACTATTTTATTCCCTGTGCACCCTATGACCCTGCCATAAAATAAATGAAAGGAAATGAGGGCTGATTGCTCAGGCCTTCACAGACATTTGTCAACCAGTAAGGTCAGAAATCCGGATCTGTGCAGTAACACGCAGTGGGGAGGCCATAAAAACAATGTTATACGTGACACTATCTGATGAGATGCATGATCATTTGCCAAAAGGAGAAATACAGCCCTGAAAGACATGATGACCGGAACGACAATTCCTGCAATTTAATCATCCTGTAAATGTAGCAGTTAAAAAAAGAGACAACACACATAAGACAAAATTAAAATCTACAGTATCTTATCTATTCAGATAATGTTATATGTCATCAGTGTTATTTTCTACCCTATCTCACGACCAATTCGTACGAATTCGTACGAGTGATTCAAAAGTGGCTAATTCGTACTAATTCATACGACCTCACTCGTACAAATTTGTACGATTTTTCTAAACCCACGTGACGGTTATGTTTAGGGGCGGGGTCAGGGGTAGGTCATCCGAATTGGCTAATTTGTAAAATATGTACGATTTAGCTAAATCGTACTAATTCGTACGAGTGAGGTCGTACAAATTGTTACGAATTAGCCACCTCGTAAAATTCGTACGAATTCCCGTGAGATCGGGTTGTTATTTTAGTATATGTGATGCGATCTGGGAAAACCCATCGGATGACATTCAGATGGTAGAGTCAGAATTTGGCGTAAACAGAATGAGAACATGGATCCATCATGCCTTGTTACCACTGTGCAGGCTGGTGGTGGTGGTGCAATGGTGTGGGGGATGTTTTCTTGGAACACTTAAGGCCCCTTTAGTACCAATTGGGCATCATTTAAAACGGCCTACCTGAGAATTGTTTCTGACCATCTCCATCCCTTTATTACCATCATGTACCCATCCTCTCATGGCTACTTCCAGCAGAATAATGCACCATGTCACAAATCTTGAATCATTTCAAATTGGTTTCTTGAACATGACAATGAGTTCACTGTAATAAAATGGCCCACAGTCACCAGATCTCAACCCAATAGAGCATCTTTGGGATATGGTGGAATGTGAGCTTCGTGTCCTGGATGTGCATCCCAGAAATCTCCATCAACTGCAAGATGCTATCCTATCAATATGGGCCAACATTTCTAAAGAATGTTTTCAGCCCCTTGTTGAATCAATGCCACGTAGAATTAAGGCAGTTCTGAAGGCGAAAGGGGATCAAACACAGTATTATGGCGCTTTTCCACAAGCGCCATTAGTATGGAGTTCCTAATAATCCTTTAGTGAGTGTTATATATAGCTATATAGACCATTTCACAAGATGTAAAAAACACTGGTCCAGAAGCACTTCCTGTTTCAGTTTGTAACTGTTTTCTTTATTTCACATGTAAATAAAAAATCTTGAAGATGTTTGTTTAACTTTTTGATTCAGTTTTAAATGTTCTGTTGGTTGTATTTTATCCCAGCTTTTATGTAGTGTTAAAAAACTGAAACAGGAAGTGCTTCTGGACCAGTGTTGTTTACATCTTTTGAAATGGTCTATATAAGCTATATATACATAGATTAATTTCAATTAGTGAAAATGATTTTTTAAAATAGCTTTACTTGACAATAACAACAATCTAAAGTCATTGATGCAGTTAAACACTTAACTGTCACCGTCCCACAGGTGGGACGTTTGCCACTATATTTTTAAAACAATAATATCTTAGTAAATACCTTAAATAATATTGACAAACTATATATCATTTGAAAGCTTACAATCTCTAGTTTCCATATTTTCAAAATATATTACAGAGGAGCCATAATTTATCAATATAAAACAAGAATATTTTCATACTCATAAGGCGTGTTCAGACCTTTATTTTAAAATAGCAGTAAACATGAAAAATCATGAAAAAATGGTAGATACCTCAGTTTGTTTTCATGCCAAAAGTTCAAAAGACAGAATCCATTCAATTATTTTGGAAAAAAAAGGTCTGAAAAGTTTGAAATATCAAGAAAAAAATAATAAATTAACCATTTGTGACGTGGCAGCTAGCTATGACTTACATGCGTGTTCTTTGTATGTGTTTCTTAGAGGTTCAATTCATATCAAAATCTGCCAAACTTCCCATGCTACTTCTGAATAGGATCTCTACTTTAGAAATTGTATGAAAATTGTGAAAATAATGGTTCATATCACTCAAAACACGAATGGAAATGCAGGCGCCCTTATATGGGCAGTAATGGAGTCTGATTGTGCCCTAGTGAAAAAGTTTGGTACTGCGCTCAAACAAAATATTACTGGAAGCTCATTTTTTGAGATATCAACCTAAAATTTGAAACACAACTTGTTCAGATTTTTGGCTTTGATCTTTCTGCCATTTTAGAGTAGCCCAGATTTTGAAAACATATATTTTATGTAAAATATGAATAATTAATATTTTTACATTGTACATTTCCATAAACTCAAACTTCTATAACTTTTTTTCTGTTTCACTTTCTGAATTTATTTCACTTCTACAAAAATCTGCCAAATGTCTTCTTTAAAACAAGACCAATCATATGTCTATATTCCAAAGCATTCTTGAATTACAACCAGTTAAGTTCGAAATGTGCATTTTCATGTCTATTCAAAAAAGGGGGGGTGACAGTTAACAGGTTAAAAAAGCTCACCATTTTCTGCAGTGCCGTGTGCTATGAACAGGTAGTAACTGTTGTTAAGACTGAATCGGACCAGATCCTGAGGGGTGTAGATGGATCTAGAGAACTTGCACTGAATGACCCCATCGGAAACTCTCCAGCCTACATCAGTCAGCACAGACTGCAGAAGAAGTGAAAGTCCTGCTGGTTACATTTATGACTGAGACTACATAAAGTTTAGAGCACACGCTGTCATCTTTTTGGACTATAATGTTTTTTATGGTTTTAAAATGATGTTGTAACATCCTGAAAACTAAAAGCAGCATTACAATCCTAAAGTGCTCTCTCACCTGGGATGCCTCCTCTGGGTATGTCCTTCCTGTTGTGTGTGCAGGCTCAACGCTTACACGACCCCCGTCATTTATGCACAAGTACGCATCATCATCTCCCTAGAAAAACAATAATATCTTCAGAGTCATGTGAATATAATATATCTAAAGTCAGTTCATTATAATGCACTGAATGCAATTTTAGTACTAGAATTCTCACCATCCATTTATCCTTGGACAAGGCAAAGGAGACGTATCCCTGTGCAGGGCCGCTGAGCTCAAACGAAACTTTTTGACCCAAAGTAGAAAACGAAAGGAAGAAGCAGTTTGTGTCCATAGAAGGGTTACAGCCGACAGGGTCAATAAGACAAGACTTCCACCTGCCACATCCCTCTGGAGTGAACTGTAAGAGAAGTGGCATCATGCAGGTTTTTCTTTACAATAAAAGGCTATGTAAAACAGCTTATACAAGCAGATTATCTTTAGTATTTTGGCACGTACTGGCTCAGGTAGTATAGAGGTGCTTGCAGAGTTTGTAGACATGACGGTGGTAGATTGAGGTGGAGCGGGAGTCACGTCACCCTGAGATATGACCGGACTAGGAAGTTTGAGCCAGAATGTCTTGTAGTGGGCAAGAACTGTAGCACTTGATGTAAATAAAATAAAATAAAATAAAAAACTATTTTAAATTTGAATATACCAGACATTTTGGGTTGAAAAGAGCTAATACAATGAGTGACCTGTTTATGAGTATTTTCAACATTGAATTACAAAGTAAGATCAGAAACACACTCACAAAAACTGAATAGTGGGAGGAGCATTTGACGGGGCTTTCCAGATCACCTGAATTTCTGTCTTTTTGACATTACTGGTGTGACTAACAGCAGAGCCCTTTAAAAGACATCATACTTGCATTGTACGGCAACTCTTTAACATTAAAAACACATTGAGACACATTTCAACATACTTTGTAATAGCAAATAAATCATGGTAAGTGATTTATACAACAGCAGGGCTGTGATCAACCAACCAAATTATATTTAGTATAGACCTTTTGCTCATGTGATGTCAAAACTATGGCCTCCACTATAAAGTACCTCTATGCTGTTGCATGTCAAACGCTGGGAAATCTTTGGATCTACCAATGCGAATGAGCCCACAGCTGATCCATCAGGGTTTGTAGCATCTCGGGCTTGAATTAGAAAGCCTTCAAAGTGCTCCCTTCCAGAGATAGTGACTATGGACAGTGGAAGTGTCAATAGATTATTGCAAATGGCAAAAAAAAAAAAGCTTTACTCAAAACATCTAAATTGGTAAAAATGCTAATAATTGTTTAATGTGTTTTCCCCCTCACCTCTGATGTCCATCCCTGGTCTGAATTTACTGGCGTTCACAGTCAGTGTGTATGGACTGGCAGTAGTGTTGGGTTGGCTGTGATGTTCTGGCATCATGCTCTCGCAAGATTTCTCCACCTTTCCATTTTTGTATCCACTTACAGCTGTCAAACTCAAAGTCGCAAGGATTGCCAGAGACGTTTGCAGATTCCACATTTCCAGCAGAGGCAAAGTGGTCCTTTTCTGTGGATAGATCCTGAGAGGAGTAAAACATGGCCATTAGTCCATAGTTATACCGTGCTCCTTATAATTCATATTTCATTATATTAGGGTTCTCAAATGTATTAACAAAGTCATTTTCAAGAGTTTTTCTTAACTTTTTCCAGTCATTTGTGATTTCTGTGGAAATTGATTTTCTCTGGGGGTAAATTTGTATGTCAGTTACCAGCCATTGTAATCAATACAAAAATGTGTTTTTTCCCAATATGAAAAAGAAAATGTTCTATACTCACTTTATTTCATGAAAAAGCCATTAGAATTTGCTGGCCAATTAATTGAATTTTCCATGACTTTTCTAGTCAGTTTAACAATGAATATAGTTAATATGTGTGTGAAAATAAAGTTTAGCCTAAGGTTTTCAAAAGAAAGCACTGCTCTTACCTTGTCAGTGTAACCTGTCTGCTCAGGATCAGGTAATGTTGGCAGATTATATTTTTATGGCTTGAACATGAATGGGCGGGTCATGTCGCATTTTTAAGAGTCTGTAGGCCTGCCACCACATGATGGAGACAAAATCTGAAACAACTCAGGAGGTTGTTTGTTTTCGCTAGTTTACATATTTGTATTTATTTGTTTATTCATTATTTATTTATTCGTACCTGTGAATTTAATGCCAATACGTGACTAGTAAAAAAAAAAAATTCATACGCATACAATGAAAACATTGAATGTAAATGGCATTATATTAGTGCATTTACGGTAGCTAGAGGGAAGCGGAATCGTGCACACGCCTCCTTTACCAGCGACTGGAACGTCCTTAAAAGCCGAAAACAGGAAAAATACACTGGTGTGTCTTTTAACCCTACTGCTCCATAACACTGTGTTGTCGCGCAAAACGGATCTAAATGTTTATATCAGTTTAGATTTTAGACTGTCGCATCAGATTAGGAAAGTATGCGCATGTTGTAATATGGCTTGGTAAATATTAGCCTAGCCTACTATTGCCCTGATTACTCATTTAAAATAGACTTGTTTGGCCTTTATCCGCTAGATTCTTAACCCCGACCAGTCTGAGATAGAGGATACTTTTTTGGCCGTGCCATGTTTACTGTAGAGATGGGAAGTCCGATCGATGCATTTCCGCTAGTCGGTTCTTTCGAACAATTTGTTTCAAAGAACTGGTTTACAAAACGATTCAGTGATTCTTATAAAAACAAGTGATTTAGATAAAAAATAATCTAGTACATGTTGGTTATTATGGATGATTATAATAATTTTAACAATTATTGTATTTTCGTGTGTTAAACTAAGTTTTAGTCAGCTCATAAAACAATTATTTGACCAGCTAAATACGATTTGCAATTATCAGACAAAACTAAAATTAAGTCACATCTCTTGGGTGTAGCTAATCAGTTCTGCAATTCGTCTAGGCAAACTTATTTTTCGTCCCATGTCAGAGTCAGATCTTCGGGTCTGTTTTAATATCCAGTGAACCGGTTCAACCTATTGAAAAGATCCGATTCATATGAATGATTCGTTAACGAATCGGACACTGTTAAACTATCAGAGGTGGTGATGGTGCATAGAGCGTTGTTACTAACGTACGGATAAAAATCTTGACAATATTGAGGTATTTTCCGTGTTCCGGCAGAGCTCTGTTTTGGTTGTTGCAATGCTCACTCGTTATCATGTATTGTAGGCTAATGTACGTGGCTCTTAGATTGTCATGGTAAAATGTTGCAATAATTTTAAAGGAAACTGTTGCAATTCTGCGTTTTGTTTTTTCAGAGGCTACACTGCAGGCATCTGTTAATGTGAATTAAGTCATCATATTGTAATCCAGTGTGTGTGTGTATGATAATTTGCATATCTTTTGGTTGACTTTTCAGTGAATGGGGTGCCGTTGAATTCCTGTTCATCGTTGTATTAAGGACGCTCTAAAATAAGGAGGGCAATCATGACACCAAAACAAACAAGAGTGATGGTCCTCAATGACATGGAGAAACTAGACAGGACCCTGTTCCGTCTGGACCAAGGCAAGTTTCAGGTCACGTTTAACTCGTTTTGCTTTGTACAGAGGCATGACAGAAGTAGTGTATTCATTGTAGTGATAATGGCCACTAGTCTGTTACGTGCGGAACGTTTGTGCTTATTTATAGACAGTGGTTTTCTCAGGAGCCAACTTTATTAAGTACCTATTCCTTCATGCACTAATAAAAAGTAAATATAGCAGGGGAGTTTGGCACTGGCTATGATACATGTGAGAGATGTTATCTGCTCATACGATGAATCCAGTAGGGATGGAATCTTGAGGCTTCGATTCGATTCAATATTGATTTATTAGCTTCGATATCGATTCAATAATAAGTAAATACACAAGTAATTAAGTGCCTGAGTATATTTTTAAATAATGTGCGCAGTATTACCAATGTTAAAGAACAAATTGGCCCCAGCATTTTTGTTTCCTGTCATGGTTTATTCAGCAGAATAAACTGTACAATATTGTATGTGTTGAATACAAACACAACTGTGACAAGCACTGTACAGTGCTTTAACAACACCTCTAAAGTGCATGTAACTAAGTAGTAGAAAGTATATTTCTTCCTTCCTAAACATTCAATTATAAAAGAAATGTAAACAGAACCACAAAATGTGCATACTCAAAAAAAGTCTAATATTATAATTATAATTTTGTAAACAATAACACTTAACAGCTGATCACACTTAACAGCAATTGCGAGTTATCAGGCCAATTCTAAGGGGGGGAAAAGACTAACCTTTTTCCCTCTCAGAATAATTTATATCTCACAATTATGACTTTATAACACGAATTTGTGACTTTATATCACGCAATTCTTACTTTATATCCCGCAATTCTGACTTTATATCACGCAATTCTGACTTATATCTCGCGAATCTGAGAAATACAGTCAGAATTGCGAGATGTAACTCTCAATTGTGAGAAAAAAAAGTCAGAATTGTGAGATAAAAAGTCACAATTACCTTTTTTATTTTCCATTCTGTGGCGGAAACAAGCTTCCATAGTTCCCGGGTTACAGTGGAATCCAAAATGAGCCCAAACGTCGGCTTTTAATGTTGGTGCAGGCTTGAATCAGGCTTGAACGGAGTGCAGCTGCTGTTCGTCATCGCGCTGTTTTGCTAAAGCGCGACTTCTACAACGCTGAATGCTCTCACTAGAGTGTAGCCCACAGCGCCGCCACTGGCTTGGATGGCTGAATCTATTCATAGGATTTGATGAATCGATATTGAATTGAGAAGCAAAAAATTGCAATGCATTGATGAACCGATATTTTTACCCAGCCCTAGAATCCAGTAAACAAATCTTGTTCAGAAATTTTCACTTTAATCTCTTATGAAGAGGTTGTCATTTGTATCAATGTTTAAATTCATATGCATAATTGTCCTTAGATGCTGTTAATGCATAATTTCAAAATAGTTGAGTATAGTTAGTGTCTAGCTTTTATCTAATTTGCATATGCTAAAGCTGTGAGATGAGATGCTTTTATTTGCCTTTATATTATTAATAATAATTATATAATTGATCAATTATAGAAATGTATTATATTATTATTAATAATATGATGAGCCCTATAGATCCCTCATAAGTAAATAATATGTTGTTGTTTTTTCTGATGCTAATTCTTCTTTTTGGGATTGTATCATGATAATGCAATGCTTATTTTAGAGACTACTATGATGGTAAAACCATGTTACACTTTGTGATGAAACGTTTGTGCCAGGTTCCACCAGTATTTGTATCAATTTATTTTTTTATTATTATTATTATTTTTTTATTATAATTCATAAACAGCAAGATCTATGTCATGAAGCATATGTTGTATTTCTGCTCAGGGTTTGAACTCCAGTTTCGCCTGGGTCCCACTCTTCAGGGGAAAAACGTGCAGGTTTACACCAACTACCCTGCAGAAGGGGAGCGCTTTGAGCGCCACAAGTTCCAAGCTTTAGACTGGATTAACCCTACTGGAAGACAGGATGATTCAGACAAGTTCTGTAACCTTGACCTCCAGATTTCAGGCTCATACCAGTATTATTTTGGCCATGGGTGAGTTAGTTGCAGAAACATTTTTTTCAGAGGATACTGTCCGTTCTGCATTTAAATATTGTTAAAACTGTGCAACAGGTCCTTGTTCATTTATTTTTTTACTCTTCAGAGATAAGGAGAGATCTGGTGGTGGATATATCGTGGTTGACCCAGTGCTCCGAGTAGGGGTGGACAACCACATCTTGCCCCTTGACTGCATCAGTATCCAGACATACCTGTCCAAATGCCTCGGCCCCCTGGATGAGTGGCTGGACAGGCTTAGAGTTGCCAAAGAGGCAGGTAAGAAGACATCTGGTGCTATAGTTACACTTACAATTTTAACACTTACAACTTTATCTCCATTTGAACTTCTCTTTTTTCCTTCTCTACAGTCTAGATGAACAAATCAATAACCAATAGCTATGCAGAAACTGAACAAATACATTTAAAGAGGTTAAGTTAGTCAAAGCTAGTTAGGCAAAGTTAGTTTTTCCAAAGCGAACATTTTTTAGTTCTTTATTTTAGAATAATGACCATTAGAGATGCTTGGGTCAGCTCTAACATCACCCGAATCTACTGTTAAAAATAAACCATCCACCCTCCACCAATCCAAACTATAGATATCTGAACCACACCCGATTGTCACATTACAGTTATTCAAATTCGAAAAGTGAGATGACAAATAGGCTCCCACTCAAATCTGTTTTGCTTTCACGAACCCTGCAATTACAGTTTATTGAGAATCTGCAAATTAGTCCCTGACCAAAAAATTAAGCGTTTAACATTGGTCATTGAAATGCACATCATATCATGATTTGCCGGTTTTATTACATTGGTAAATTAACTGAAATATATCTTAATATTCAGTTAGTATTCTTTATCAAAGTAACTGATTTCATATTTAATTTCTATTTTTTAGGGTATAATATGATTCACTTCACACCACTGCAGACGCTGGGTGAGTCTCGCTCCTGTTACTCTCTGGCCGATCAGCTGGAGCTTAACCCAGACTTCTCCCCTCCTGGAGAAGCTTACACCTGGACAGATGTTGGCAACCTGGTGGAGAAAATGAAGAATGAGTGGAATGTGCTGTGCATCACGGATGTGGTTTACAATCATACGGGTGCGCGTTTTTCCATTTGTTTATCTAGTTTATAGACAATTTTCAACAATGCTTTTTGCATTTTTGGTACTTTTTAACAACTTTTAATTTATCCTAATAATTCTGAGGCATTAAGAATTGCCAAAAGGTTAAATAATGTTTGATTAAGTATAACATATCACACCCACAGGACTTCTCAAATGTATTGCATGTCATTTTTCCATTTGCTGGGTCCAGCTATAGTGGGTTCTCTAATTTCAATGCAAAAGGCCACGGTTCCAAAGTGAATGACCGTAATCTCCAGTAAGCCCCCAC